TTTTTGTGTAATTGTAAGGTTATTTTGTACCTTTATGATAATTTATTAGATATTTATGCAAGAAATTAATAGGACATAAATTATAGATAACTCCAAAGGCAAGGCAACAATCTAAGAGTGGCTCCAAAGTGGCCCTTCATACCATCAAGGCATAATTTTATTTTATTGTGCATACCATCATATTTATGACAATATATTATCTACATAATTCAAATTTGATTAATTAAATAACCATTTTATCCATATATAATATGCCTATATTCTATAAATGTTCTAGTTTGTAAAAAAAAACAATACATTTTACAATTTATACAAAATAAAATAAATAAATAAATAAAGCTTGAGTATAACATTATGCTTAACACTAAAACACAACTAACAACTAATCCAAATCAAAAGCTACAAAGAAAATTCCAACATATTACTTTATTAAATTAATGTTCTATTTAAAATTAAGTCAATTAGCCACCATAAAAAATATGACAATATACAAAAGAAGATTGTAAAATTTAAATATTCTCCCAGAATCATTATGTCACATTCACATTAAAAATATCATTAACATTGATTAATAATACAAATACATCAAACTATGACACACACACACTCCTAATTAAGAAGCAATATAATATCAGACGAACATAACATTAAAATATTTAATTTAAATATATATTTTAAAAAATACACGTTAAATTAATGAATTAGAATTTTGAAAATATCTTTAAGCAAATATGGTTTTAAGATTAAAATTTTAAAAATTTATTATACTTTTCATTTAAAAATTAAACTTATATTTAAGCTTATTTTTTCTATATCATAAACTAAGAAAATATCTCATTAATATTATGAAATTTCTTATTATTTTTTTCTTTATTATTCTTAATTTTTTATTTGTTTAATTTTTATCTCTTTTTTCTAATAATTTATGTAGTGAATTTACATACACCACTTAATTTTTATGTAATTAAAAATGAAAGCCTTCTGGATCACATTTGGGTTGTACAAGAAAGGCATAATAGTAAGAAAAAAAAGCCATAGGACAAATGTCGAATGGAGGCTTTCCAATTACTTTATAAAACAATACTTGTATGGTTTTTAATTACCCTTTTTATGCTTAGAGAATATAATATAAGTGAATATATCTAGACTATATAAAATTATTTTTGTGCAACTTTTGTTGCGATTACAATCTCAGGGGACAATTGCAGTTGTTTGGAAAAATAACTGTGAAACTGCTACAAAAAAAAAATTATTATTTAAGTTGCAGAGGCCATTACAATTTTATCTTAATTTTAAAAAATTAAATCGTTAATGTCAGAGAATCACCGCACTTTAACAGGTCAGGTTGAAAAGATAACTTCCAACCAAAGAACTTTTTTGAAAACAAGAAAATAATTCCCCAAATAGAACTGCGATGATGAGCCGAAAAACAAATGAATCAGAAAGCTGTCCCAAATATACTCTCAATTTCATCATAACATGTTTCAACATTTTATTCTCTAATAAACTATTCATGGTTAATCCTCAACTAAGTTAAATGTTCATTTATGAAAATGAAATAATAACTCTACAATATATTTTATCAAATTACATGTATCAGCTGTAAACTATGCAAATTAATATATATATATATATATATATATATATATATA